ACTCTTTGCCCTATATGCAATATTGCAGAGGAGGATCAACTACACCGTTTTGTTTACTGTACTCATGCGCAAGAAGTTTGGAAGCTTTGTAATAACTTGTCTCCACCCTACTCCATTACCAATATGAATGATTGGTTAATGGGGATGTCAGCTTTAGATAAAGATGATCTTTATGATCTTAGTAAAATCCTAATTCTTTGTTGGCAAATGTGGAATGATAGAAATAATTTTGTTTTTAAATAGATTAAATCTTATCCAACTCGCTGTTTGATAGCAGTGGCTACAACTAGTAAAGAGTTCTTGAAGGCTAATTTGAGATAGAAACCAAGGAAGACTAAAATCTCAAGCAACACCATTAGTAGCAGAAGAGCCCTTCACCGACCCATCAAAATTGAGCTCTTTAGGATGCCTTGGCTCTGGCCAAACAACGTCAAATCAATAAAATTGTGGTGGAAGGGGACTCGAAGGTTGTCATTGATGTAGTTTTTGGAAAGTGTGCAGTTCTATGGAGAATTAGGTTCATTGTTGAGGACATTAAAGGGCTTGCCTCATCATTTGAGCTGGTAGAATGGAATCATGTCTACAGGGAAGCAAACTTCATAGAGGACGCTATTACTTCTCTTTGGCATAATTGTACTAATTTATATATTTGGGATGGGTGTTTTCCTACCCAAGCAAAAAAGTCTCTCCTGTATGATTCTCGAGGCCTTGGGTGTCTCCAAGGTTTCTCTTTAAGTTAATCTTCTTTCTTCCTAAAAAAATGATAAAAGCATCCAAAGAAAAATGATATTCATTACAAAAAAAAAATTAAAAAAAAAAAAAAAACTCCTTAAATATGACGCTAAAATCTCGTCATGTAAAACCATGAAAGTGTCACAAATTGTGGTATAGCGCCAATCATGCGACGCTTGTACTTGTGTTGCAAAAAACCCGTATTGTAAAGTTTTCTCAATTTATTGCGACGTATTGTTAGGGTTGCAAAGTTATTTTACGACGGTTTTGCAACACAAAGTTGATGTCGTAACTACTATGATGTGGAATTAAACAAAATATTTTTGATGTGTTTGACACGTCATAAATGCTTAAACCCTACAATTTATTGTCGTCGAAATAAAAACATGTCAGAAATGAAATTTTCTACAAAAGCATTAGGCTGCATTTTTTAATCTTATTCACAATTGTACCAATATCAAATGTTGAATTGTGCTTTATAATTGCTAACATTAAAAAACACCATTCATATATCCTAATTCATAATCCTACTAAAGAGTGAAAAGTCAAATATGAAAAATCTTGTCCCAAAAGTTCATGAACATATTCTTTATTTCAAATGCTCCAACATAGTTCAAAAGTTTAATTATGATTGAGACTCTCCATCATAACCTTCCATCCAAACTTGAAATGAAAATTATACAACTTTCAATAAAAAGTTTAATCTAATTTATCAATATAATGTTCTTCTCACAAATCTTTTATGAAAGCAATTGCTTCTATGCATGTGGGTCTAACTGAGGCTGGTGCTCATTCCAAGTGTTCCTTGTTGCTAGTTTGATGTATTTGGCATCTATGTTTAACATCAAAACAATAAATAGAAGAAATCAAAATTAATCTACTTGTCGCATCTAAATTGTTCTAATAAATTGAAAAGAAAACATAATCACATTAGAATATAGTATACATGTTCACGTTCGCTTGCTGATGTGTTAACTTGGAAACCAATGAGTCATCATGAGATAGAGTTTCAAACTGACTTCATTGTACTTGGATCGAAGATCTCCAATTTCATATTCATGCTTTGATTTAAGATTATCTATTTGGGTCTTATATTGTCTTTCTACCTCCTCTCGTATGCTATCCTCATTAATGTCAGAAGATCTTGAACTTTGACCAAACACTTGAGATGGAGTTGTACCTATTTCATACATGCAAATACGTCCATGTGCATCATGTCCCATAACTCTAGTAAACACCTCCGCTCGATAATCCTCATCGTGCTCATGATCTTCCCTTCTTCCAAGCATTCATTAAATTGATTCTAAACATGCCCCAATCAATTCACATGACCAAAAACACAAAAGTAATACACAACCTAACTAATAAAAACAATGTGAATATGCAATCTTCGTCATATATTTTGAGGGAAAACTAATTCATACTTACAACAATGTCGCCACTTTCCTTGTCAAAAGTCTTCATCGTCATTCTTTGTTTTCCTTGTTCGCGTTTTTATAAGCATGTTTAATCGATCAATTTTCTCTCTCTTCTATCTCATTTTAAGAGAACAACATATATAATCGTGTTAGTAATGAATTCTTTAAATGCAGAAAAGACTTCTAGCTTTCCATGTCAAATGCAATCTGATGTTTTAATAATATTCATGACTGTCCAGCTATCCATGAAAGCCAAAAACTAATCACAAAATGTTAATCAAACTGTTCATAATTGTTAAAGAATAGGATTATGATGTTTTTGGATTACACAGAGGAGGTTCCTATTAAGAGGTTGTTATACAAAGGTTGCAGTTCAAAAAAAAAAAAAAAAAAAAAAAAAAAAAAAAAAAAAAGAGGTTCTTATACAGAGGGACAATTTACATAAGCCCCAAATTATGAAAGTTTAGAGCATAGTTGCTGCCACTAGTTTACATAAGATTTAACCTCTTAGTTTCATAATGCTCTGTACAATAACACTACTATTGCAACTAGTTTGTTTGTTCTTTTATAATTTCTCTCTACTAATGAAGACTTTTCTACTTTGTGAATGTCATGTACCAAAGGTGTCTATCTCTTTGTGCTACTACATATTTGACGAGTCTAAAAAAAAAAAAAAAACAAGCACACATGAAAATTTAAACTTGCACCTATACATATACAATTTAATTGTGTTATTTTTGTTTCTTTAGAAAATAAACATGCCTATGAGAAGAAACTATTTGTTAAGTCAAAAACTAGTGCTGTTACCTTATGTTTTAATTAAGCAAATGAAGTAAGACCAGTTCTATGAGAAGCACTTCAATGTGCACGATTAATCTTATTTGCCTGAGAACATTCCTATAGATGTTTAAAGCAACCATAATTCATCACTATTATAAACTTAATAATATTATTCTTCTCAATTTATTGAAGTCGTCGAAAGCTCATCCTCATGACTAGAGGCAAATGGATTGTGTTGAAGTAGTTGTGTCTTTAACTGAGATTGTGTAGGCTTTGTAACTGGTGGTTATTCTTAGGTCTGATTGAACGTGGCATGTTGAGACCGCTAAATAGTTGAGGCTGATTCGAACTTTGTCCACGCTGCTGAGATGATCGGGCTTGTGACCTACCCTTTTTAGCTCTCACTGGAGATGGGGAATGAGTTCCTCCACTGTTTTACCTTTTCCTCACAAAAAGTTGATGTAAATAAATATAATATATAGCCAATTACCTTATATATATATATATATATATATATATATATATATATATAAAGAAGACATGCACTAATAAACATAATATCAATTACAATGACAAAAAATAGATAATGTCAATTAGAAGTAATGAAATGGTCACATGATTCAAAGAATTTGCAATATAACTAGCAACTAATGCACTATATGACCAATCATTCTTCCATCTCATTTTCAGGAGGATCATCAACTTCTTCAACATTTGTGTCTACGGTTGCCCCATCCACTCCTTCCCTGACCCAACCAACATCATCATCATCATTCATAATATAGTTTCATTCAATTACTAGGGTGCATAAGGATCTACTTGAGGCACTATTGTTGGGGTCTGAGAAGAATATGTACAATGCATATCAAATAGATCCCTCAGAGTCATATTAACAACAACATGCCAATCTAGATCAATTGGATCCTGTATATAACGAACTTACTTTGCTTCTCAAATTTCAAGGCATTGGTCTATTGGATTTCAACCACATCTTTCAACATTCCATAATAGGTGACATCACCTTAGCAAGGCCGTTTGTCCTTAATAGTAGCATAGCTCGTAGTGTTTACTTTCGAAACAACACCAACAATTTTGAGTAGTCATACTTTTTTCGCTTTCTTTCGTATGAAATTTGGACACGTTGATGACATAACCTTTATACCTTCGTGCAAATCGGCCAGGACCATTTGCCAACCAACACAAGCATTTGAAGGTGTTGGTTATGTATATAAGATTTGTTCTATCATAAGTGAATTAAGAAGCATTCAAAGTAATAAATATATTTGTACTTCTACTTAGTTTTGAAATGGTGTGATAGCATTTGTGTTGACTAGCATATGCCCATGTGCTTGTGTCCATGTAACTTCATCTAGATGTATTTTCAATCCTTTGGATGACCATAGTCACTACCACCATCGTCATTACGAGCTGGATGAGTGAGTTTTGTTTTCACTTCAATCAAGTATCATGCAAATAAAGTCATGTATTCTTCCATTAAGTACCTCCTGGAAATTGAGGAAAAACGAATCCAACAAACATGAACTGCTTAGTGCCTTTTGTTTTCCTGCTGAAAACCCACCATTTAAATGTTCATTCAATTAAGGAAATTAAATATATTAAATAGTATAAAAATTTCAACAATTCACTGAATGGCATCCTCATTCCATTGTGTGATGTGGAAGCATATCTCTCGAGAAATAAACTTTGCCCCTGATGCTATTTCCAGTATGGGCTTTCAATTTTCAACACGCATATTTGGAATAGGTCTATTTCTTTAATGGCCCAACAATGTTTTTTTATTTGATTGTTGATGTATTAAATATATTTTCTTTTTTTTGAACAAACGATATTATCTACATCAATGGGATGGGTGGGCTTGGCCTTACAATAAGTTAGCAATACTGTTATTTAAATTCGTTTTTAACAATAATCAAACTTAAGACCCCTCATTTATCAATAAAAAGGAATATCACTAAATCTTAGTATTGAATAGCATTAGAAGTTCTAGTTTATGACGAATTTTGTTCTTTTAGAAAATGGAACGCTCCCAAACTTGGAACCCACGTGGAGAGAAGACCACTGAAGAAGCAAAAGGGATAACAAACATTGGAAGCAAGGAACTGCTTCTTCCCCTTTCTCCTCGCTCAAATTACACTTTTAAGGACATCAGTCTCTCCCTCTCTCTCTCTCTCTCTCTCTCTCTCCCCTCTACGCTGTGGAACACTAGGCAGCTTCTTCATTCATGCAAGTGCCCAATCCCTTCGAAAGTCCTAAATTCCCATTCAAATTTTAATGGCTGGTTAAGGAAAGTTAATCGGAACGGGATGGGAGCACAGAAGAGCATTCATGCTGGCAAAGGTGAGATAGTAACAATCCTTCATTTCACTACCCAAGATTGTTAGTTAATTTGTTTGTGAAAGTTTTCTTCTTATTTTGTTTTTGTTTGGGATTAATGGGTTGGTTTTTTTATTTCTGCATAATTCTTGTGTTCAATAATGTAACAGCCAAGATTGACGTCAATGTTGATTTCACTCACAAGCTTTGTGCTTCGTTGATGCTTCCTCCTTTGAGGTTCTTGTTCCTTTCATTCCTTCTACTCTTTGTTTTCCGCCATTGGATGATTGATTGATTCCATTCCTTTTCTCACAGTAATGGTAGTGGCAGCCCTCTGTCTCTGATAATTGGAAGGTAAGAGTGTCCTTTTCTTTTATCTTATTTTAGCTTATGAAATTTGGGTTCTTGATGTTTTGAAGTTTTCGGTCTTTTGGTTTGCGGGATATGCAATTTGGGTCAAGAAAGGATATGGGGATAACATCGTTTTTCGGCTAGTTGAACAAACCTGTTACGTTTTTGTTTCTCATTGCAGTCTTTGCATCAAACATCCAAATTTATTTGGGGGAAGTGAGAAGCTTGATGTGTCATGGGATAAGGGGCTGTATGATTCTAATGTTTTGCTGGCTTATAGAAGACCGAGACCCGAATGGCTAGCTCAACAGTCCTTTGTAATACAGGTTATCTATTTATATCTTCTTTTTGTGTTATTCAACTTGGAGAATCTTAAAAAAACTATAAACGACTTCACTAGAGTCTATTTAGCAATCCGGTTTCTCTATTAGCGTAACTCGTCCATAATTGATACAAATTTTGTTTCCCTTTTTACATCTCAGCATTCTATTTCACCCGAGATAGGGGTTCACGGCATTCCCATGGACAATTTCTCACGTTCTGGTAGTGGAGGTGTGAATTTATCTCGATTATCGGTAGGCATGGATCTGAATGAACCTTCAAGTTCCAAATGGAGTAGTACAACTAGCATAAAGTTCGAGGTACCTTACTACATTATCCACTTATAAAAATTCTTGTGGTATCTAATTTCTTCTACACTGTCACTCCCCAGTAATTCATTGTGTGCTATACAGCATGTCCGGCCCGTGAATGATAATGGGCGCCCTATCAGCCTAGATCTTGATGGGTTTCCTGTCACCTGCAGGTAATCTAGGTTTTGAGCACTTTAGTTTCTGAATTTGTTTGACAAATCTTTTTACGTTATAAGATGATTTTCATGCAGTGGAAGTCCCCATGATAGTATGGTAGTTCTAAAGCAAGAATCTCAGTACGCAAAGGCAAATGATCATAGTTTTTTTCATGTAAGGCTTCTTCATATCTTGATCTATAATGTGAAAGATGATATGTGAAACTAACAGGGAGTTTGTCTTGGGTGCAGTTCAGTCTGCAGATAGAACAAGGGATACCAGTTCTATCTAAATGGCTAATCTTCAACAAGTTTAAATTCGTTGCATCCAAGGGAGTCAAACTTGGGCCGGCATTTCTCTTGACAAGGTGAGCTAGTTCCTCATTCTATTGTACAGAGTTTGAGCAAGAGGGCAGTGTTTGTACAATGTAAAAGGTGGAAGCAAGCGTGCAAGAAGCATTTGACATGAATTAGAACTAGTAGTCTTTGATGATACCCTATTCCCAGTTGGACTTGCTTTCCCAGATGAAGAAGGAATATGTTTTGGTAATTAGTTCCCAATTACTTTCCAACTGGTAAAGCCCTCTTTCGTGGATATATAAGGAAAGTTTCTGACATGAATTTGGATCGCAAGCAAGAGAGAATACCATTCAGAATTCCCCTCCAAATATGAGCAGGATACCATTCCAGAGAGAGCGTGAGCATAGAGCAAAACAATTGAATACCACTCAAGGAATTAGAGTGAGAGAACATTGAATGGAAGAGTGTGTAGAAGAGAAAAAGATAAGAGTTTTTTCTTGTTTTCTTGTTCTTGTCCTCTCTAGTTTTTCATCGAGCCTTGAACTTAAAGGTTTGATAAGATATTTTATTTCACCCGTTATTAATATAGTGGAGATTTGTTGTGTCCACTGTGGATGTAGGCGCATAGCTGAACCACGGTAATTCTTGGGTTTGAGTTTGTGTATTATTCGCTTTCTTAAGCACTTTCACAGCAGGAACTTCATAAGTTCCACTTGGTGATTCAGAAGCACAATTCTTCATTTCTATTTGCTTTGTATAATTTATGGATGCTTTAACCTTTTTCTATCTATGTTACCCATACTTTTTCCTCGGACAGAATGACAGGTGGTTCCACCGTAGGGGACATGGCACCTTACCAAGCATTTGCAATTGGAGGTCTTGGCAGTGTTCGGGGGTACGGTGAAGGAGCAGTGGGATCTGGGAGATCATGCCTGGTTGCAAATAGCGAGTTGACATTACCTTTTGTATGTAATACCCTCAGTGTTTTTATTTGGCTTCAAATTCTAATAATCTAGGACATTTGTTGCATTATTTTGTTAGCTTCGAAAGTCATTCCAGAATTTCCCGAGTACTTTTCTACAAGATCATTTGTCAGTAATCATTTTAAACCAATAGAATAGAAACATTCTTTCAGCTATGCCATATGGCTTAACCTAGACACTTTTTTTTTTTTAAGAAACGATCGAATTAGATTTATCAGGCACCTTATTCCTCGTATTTGGTGAGTAATTAATATGTTACAACTTGTTTGTAGTAAATATGAATTCTCACTATTTACTTTTGTTTTTTTGGTCAAATTGTATCTACTGTTTAGAACAAGATGGTGGAAGGTGCTGTTTTCTTGGACTGTGGAACTGATTTGGGGTCTTCTCATCATGTACCTGGTGAGTTCAAATTCCACTTGGTTATATTTCAACTCTTTGACTTGGTTATTGGTTTATCGGTCTTGGAAATTTAATCCAAATAATTAAGTCTGCTACAATAAGGGAAAGGAAATACATTGTAGGCTGTGGCTAACAAACTGATGAGAAGATTAAAAAAAAAAAGTTGCTGATCTTGAAATTTATGATCAATCTAAAAACCTCATCAAAGTTGTAATGGAGGCCTTTTCCCTTCCCTTATTGGGAGGTAAGGTTGTTACCGTATACCTAAAGCTACTGATTTTGCACTTACCTCTGTTGTTGTCACTTGTCACCTTGGGCTTGAGATTGGTGCTGTTATATGTGGACCTTTTAGGCAAGTAAGTGGGGGCTGGTGATGTTATACCGGTTCTTTCTGTTGTCTTCAGAAAGAACTGATGCGAAGATCCTTTACTGTAACTTCTTTTGACTAATTGATTACAAAGCACTCGTCTGTATTTTGGTCGTGAATGGTCAGTGACAATGTTGGTGTGGAAGACTTCTGAACCATACTGCTGATTTCTTCCTTTTCCAACTTGGTAATTTTGGAACCAATATCAGCCTTACCTACCAAGAATGTGGACGCATATATAACTTTATGATCATCCTTCATTGAACTCAACTGAAAGAACTTCACTTCCTTACCCAATTTCTCGGTTAGTTTCTATGAATTGTTGGAATATCCACCTTTCGCATTGCCCGAGTATTGTTTTGAGTCTTGACCAAGAATATTTCCCATCTTGTTCGGTTTTCATCCTTTCCACTTGACTGCCCTCCTATTGGTTTCGCTGGCAGTGTATTCCTCTACCCTTGTTAGCTTTCTTAACCTTGTTTATTCACCATCTTGGTGAACCCTGCTATTCGAGCACTGATTTGCTCCTTATTTTCTCCAATAGCACTCTCTACCTCACCAGCACTCCTCTCTTGCTGATGAGCTAATCTTACAATTTCTTTTCAAGGAATTGACTTATTGTGCCTGCTGTCCATTTTTCGTTTTAGCATTAGGGATGCCACTGCTCTGGTTCGATTTTGCAGTGAGTCGGTGGCCTTGCAATAATGATGCTGTTTCAGAACTCAAGCTATATCAAGCAGCTCAAGTTAACGACTGCCACGTGAACACTCAAATACAAGAGTGGATGAAGAATGACATGAGTTAAATCTTTTCAGTGAATTTAGTTGCAATTTAACCCCGTCAATGTGGTCCCTCTCTTTTCAACTTGATCAGTAAAGGTTCGCATTGTTACAAATGTTTTTAAGGGCCAGCTGACGAAATAATATTTTTGTGCGGCCAGTTTTAGCAGTAAGCCCCAAAAAGCAACACTTGGTTAGCAACTTAGCAGAACAAATGAGAGTTCGATCCTGGAGAGCTGTGTCTTAGAAGGTTTTTCTTTTCCATAGTCGAGTCATTGATACAAACAACCTATTGTCAAAGGTAGCACTCCACCCAGCATACCCAAGTCCAGTCTCTTTCCAGTGGTAAGTTCTACCGCTGATTGGAGTAACTAATCACCTTTTGGTGCAGGCTCAGAGGCTTAGTTTCCAACCCTCTTATAAGATTCATGGGCAACTTTCTGCATCTTAGGGTGATTATCTTGCTCTTGCTAATCCCTGACCGCACTTAACCTTCTGTTTGTTACTACATGGCCACATTACCACATTACCTTTTCCGTTGTTATTGTACTTCTGATCTCCTAAATTTGTTTATTTGCCTGATATCAAGTCGATTTAATTTTGGAGTTTCAGGAAACCCAGCTCTGAGGCTTGGCAAACCAGGATGCGGAGTTGGGCTCGGATATGGCCTTCGTTTCAAATCACAGTTCGGCCATTTTGTAGTTGATTACGCTATTAATGCCTTTCAGCAGAAAACAGTCTATTTTGGCATCAGCAACCTCGCTTCATGAATGCAACAAGCCGAAGAAGTTGAAGATTTCACACCTTTTCCGCCTCCCCATCCTCTTTTCCAGCTACAGAGCACTGAGGCAGCATATTCATGGTATTCATTACTGATCCAGTTTCAGATTCTGCAGCATCCTAATTCAGAACAATTGAAATGGTCGTCGGATTTCCTCTTTCTCTTGAAATATTTTAGGTTTTTCATGAGATTAATCGGTATATAAGTTTCTACCGGATAGCTTCCGGTTATTCTTTAAAACATAAACCGGACATTTCTTTTTTAATTGGGAAGAGGAATTTGTATGTACAAATATACGTTGCCGCGGTTATAGAATATGGTTTAATGCACATTAATTTTCTTTGTGATCTGGTGTTATTCAAATTTGTATAGAGAAACACTTGCAACAACACAATGCAAGTGTTGCGAAAATGCTATCAGAATTTTAAGGACACGAAAATGATGTTCGCTAAACCTGTCATAACTCGTAGTTTATGTTCGTGTCCACCCTGTTAATGTGGGTATATTGCAGTCCGACATTGCTACCAAGTACGAGTACATGAAAAGTTGAACGAACAGGTACAGATGCAACTAAGAGGGACTCGATTACAAATTATATAACAGAGTAATGCCTGAAAACTTTTCGCCAGGGACCCCGAGACCAGAGGCATGGCAGCGATTTCTGTTATCAAAACGACGGTGAAGAGTTCAAATTTAAGTCTATAGCAGCTTCCATCAGTCCTCAAACCAACTGTAGAAGATAGGGCCGCATACATTCTCAATTTACACGACAACTCTATCTGCTGCACAGCATGAAACGATGAATATCTGATTGCAACAATAACAGGTCTAGAAAAACATATCACTCGCAACAATCTTATACCGGTAATAATTACAAGTCCAACATCTGTAGAAATTTCGGTATACCAAATCGCAAAAAAAACAGAGAGGACAACAATGAGGACAGACAGAGGAAGCAACGATTAAGAATGACAAAATCAAACATCATTATGCACGAACACATTAAATCGATACTTTGGAGTAGAGGTTTAGAAGAACTTGTTATACTGGCTCGTGAGAGAATCTCTGAGATTGGAATACAAGCCATAGAGAGAATACTGCCGAAGGTTCTCCACCTCATACCATGAATTGAGAACCGAGAGATGTTTATCTGTACCGGAGAAAGCCAGTTGTATCCCGAGACTGCAATCTACAGAACCCCCTCTGTTTTTACAGCTTGACATTTTAATGGCGCAGTCTTGTTTGTTAAGACAAACAAAATTGGAGTTTCCTGTGCATTTGGCACACCCATCTCTCTTCCAATACAAGTTTTGCAGCCTACCCTTTTGAAACTCGAGTACCTTCACCAAAACCCATTTGTTGGATTAGAGAATTTACAAAAGGAAAACCATTTAACAAACATCGACTCTTTCAAAGTTACGGAAATTCTCCCCCGCACATGTTTTTTCACGAGTGAAGGGCTTTAGTTAAATCTCAACCATTCTTTTTGGAAAGTGCTATTCAACCCATTTTTAACTCCTACACACCTTTGTCAATTTTTTGCCATTGGTCTTCTTCAATTCATTCGATCCGACGGTCGAAAATTAAGAGGGTGTGTGAGAAGTAAAAATGGGTGTGTGGATACCAGTACCCTTAATTTTTGTCCTTTCATGCGCAAGAGAGCGAAGCTCTTCAAAATTATGCATACTTACCAAGGTAAAACTTGTCACTATGTATGTGCTGTTTGCAACAAAGGCAGGGAGAGATCTTGCAGCATATTTTCTTCCAGCGAACGCCACCATGTATCCACCATATGAATCCTAGAAAGCTCAAAAGGGCATATCATTTAATGACGTGATCCATGTCACGATAAAACACAGGACAGGAAAATGAATACAAAGTTAAGAAAAGCAACAAGTCAACATACACAAAGCCAAAGTTACCAAACAACACCACAGATGTAATTACGTTTAGTTTCTTATATTTTATAGGGGCAAAATTATTTCCAGGTTTCCCATGACAATGAATGATTTGTTTTCCACACCCTTATATCTTTTCTAACTTGATTGTACTATGAGGAGAGGGATTCCAACTCAACCAAGTAAGACGTTACTACGTGGGGGATTGCGAACAGCAGAGGAGTTGGCTTCCTCCACCCCAGTATCTATGAAAGTCAGAAACATAAATTTTGGGTTACAGGGAAGCTGGAATTGATCGTATATGTTTTTTTTTACATCTCCACTTCCAAATACACCAATAAATGGTGGCAAAATAAATGCTCCAGCTAACAGGCCTATAATAAATGTCACTGAGCTTGAGATTACCCCTGTGCCGATCTTCAAAACCAATATTAAGAGTGGGAGAGCCTTGCAAGAAGGACCAAATTCGACCTTCAGATATAATGGGATGAGTAGTATTAGTTGACAGCAGAAAAGGAAAACCCGCACCGAATTCTATCTGAAGGTCAAGTACCCTATCAAAATTCATGAAGCAAATCTAAATCTCTCAATGGAATTTCTTAGTCATAGGTTAGCATTTTCTTCCGTAGTAATTGATCAGAAATGATTCCTCTTGAAGTTATACTGAAATAATGAAACAGTCAATAAGACAGCTCCTCAGAAGATCCCAAAGTATCCTCTTCCTCTGTAATTTCCTTTATCTTCCGTAACCATGTATGAAGCTCACTAGTCAGTGCATACTACTCATGAATCATGATCATACGTTAGATAGAGCTTCTGAATCATGCAAATTTCTCTAAGTGAAAGCATTACATATCATGGACTAGCAGAACAGTTAATTACTACAAAAACAGGAAAAAAATATCCATTTTATGTCTCTTAACACAGCACTAAAATGCAGCTAATAGTTATTCTAATACTCAGAAAATCGAATAATACATCTGTATCTACAAGAACCCCAGACAATTTCAGTACAAGTATGAACCTTGGCAGCTTTGTATCTCTTACACGGAGGGAAGAGCAAATGATCAAAAGCAATCCAATTCTTTCACCCTTTACCCTCAAACAAAGCCCGCTAAACCAAATGCACTCCAAACATTATATTGTAAAATAAAAATTCTTCAGTGAACATGATGCAGAAGAAAACTAAAGACTAGAAGATCCTTGCAGACTTAAACGAATGCACCGTAGTTTCTTTTCACTATTTACTTAAGAATTCTTGCTAACTTGACCTCCCCAGCTTATGTAACTCTCACAGTACGATTTATACACTTCAATTTTCCTTTCTAAAGATGTCAGATTCTATTGCTCATTTATCGCTACATTGCCGGCTAAAATAGTCACAAAAGGGTTTAAATCCAAGTGGGCTAATGGATAATCACATGAACATACATGGTACAAAGAATCAAGAGCATCGGAACCAATCCCATCAATTGGGTAATCAGACAGTCGCATTTCAATCCAGCTCAAAAACTGTAGCAGAAGAACAGTAAAATATAAGAGTTTCATTTACCGGTTGGAAAGAAGAGGTGTTGATAGTGAGGAGGGAGATCTCATCGACTTTGGGTCTAAAGAGCGCGAGCTGGGACTTGGCGGAGGACAGTGAGAGGCGGCGGTCGCAGGGGGAGAGCTGATGCGACTGGTTCCCGTTTAGGAAGAAGGAGTTCTTGGACGCGAATGCGATCCCGAATGTGAAGCCGTCGGACCTCTGAATCTTGGTGTCTAAGCATGGACTGTACACGCTGTTTGTGTTGGCTGCTCCCGCAGTCACCACAATCGACGCCATCGGCAGGAGGAGGAGGAGCATCGCCGCCGCCATTGTTGCTGCCGGTGATTGCATTTTGGGTGGTGGTTATGTAGTGGGATGGATGGTATTTGGGCAGCGGGTGGTGGTGGATGAACAACAGAAGCCAGCTAAGGAAATGTGGGGGTGTTGGCCGGATGTGGACAGTGGAAAATGTGAGCTAGTTTTTGTATCTAAGACGGCTGCTACCGCCTCCAAAGTACAAATCTTTGCGGCGAGGTTTAATTTTGTATTTCTTTTATTATTATTGGAGATGTTTGTCGGTTTATCTCTCAACTTACATAAAGCTGTCAATTTTTTGTCTGAATTTTAATTTTAATTTTAATCGATTACATTTCTAAACTTTTTAATTAGGTGTTGTAGCTTATTTTATCTGACAAGGTTAAAGAGGGTTGGCGGCAAGGGTAGAAAGATTGAGAGGGATGTGTTTGTAGAATTGTAAAGAAATGTGTATTGTTATCTCTCCTATATTGTGTCTTTATTATAGTAATAAAAGGAAAGAAAATATTCATTTTTCCTCGAGTAATACAAGTTGTAATAGGAATTGATAACTAGAATCAAATTTAATCTAAAATTTACACAATCACACTTAAACTAGGAAAGTTTACAACACTACCCCTTGAGTGTGTAAATACTCAAGATAGATTTAGCATCATGCAGAAGTTGAGGAAGTCGACTTATCAACGCTGATCCTAAAGAACAACGCTTATTTTCAATAAGGTAGGAACTTGCATAAGTAGTAAGTCTCACTAAAAAACCCTAAGGCTATGGCAAAAACCGAGGAGGGACAAAATCCATAGTCTAAGGGAAAATGCGTGAGAAATGCAAAGTCAAAAGAAATGTCTACGAGATGTCATCAAGGATATGACCAGCCCAAGGTGAGTACCTCGTTAAAACCTAGTTAGGTAGCAAAAACCCAGTGGGAAAAATGCTCCTAATCGTAGGGAAAAAGAGTACATTAAGATCAAACAAGTATCTTCAGGATACTCCCCATGAGTTTGACACAATTCCAAAGAGAAATAGTAATGTTACAACTCAGAAAGTTTACGCATAACAATTCCATGAACAAGCTTCTAAAACGTCGTCTTCGGGAGTGATTTGGTGAAGAGTTTGGCTAGATTGTCTTGTGAACGGATTTGCATGACTTCAACCTTCTAATACTCTTGTTGTTGATGCGCTTGGTGTTGTCTCTTTTGATATAACCCTTCTTGAGTTGTTCAATGCATGCTGCATTGTCTTCAAAGATTGTCATTGGCACATCAATGGTGGGATAAAGATCGCAGGAGCTTCAAATATGGTCCACAATTGCTCTTAACCAAAAGCATTCACGAGTTGTTTCATTTAAGGCGAGAATTTCAACATTGTTAGACGAAGTGGCAAATAAGGTCTATTTAGTTGACCTTCAAGAGATTGCTGTGCCTCTAACGGTAAAGACATAACCCGTTTGAGAACGCACCTTGTGCATATTAGATAAGTATCCTGCATCGACATAACCAATAAGGTGAGAATCGACTCGAGAAACAGGGGGTGCGGCATCACTCGAGGATCCATAGGGATAGAACAACCTAAATCAATAGTACCTTAAGGTAACGAAAAATGTCTTTCACGCCAGTCCAGTGTCTGTGTGTAGATGCATTACTATATCTTGCCAAAAGATTAACAACGAATGAGATGTCGGGTCTAGTGCATTGAGCTAAGTACAATAAAGCACCTATCACACGTAGATAAGGAATTTTAGGCCCCAAAATCTCTTCATCATCCTCCTTTGGACGAAAGGGATCTTGTTTTGCATCTAGCGATCAAACGACCATAGGAGTACTCGAATGCTTTGTTTTATCCTCATTAAAGCGGTGTAATACCTTCTGGGTGTAGTTCGATTGATGTGCTAAGATTCCATCCGAACAATGCTCTATCTTGAGATCGAGACAGTATCGAGTCTTACCTAGATCTTTCATCTCAAATTCCGACTTCAGGTGCGCGGCAGTTCTTGCGAGCTTTTCAGGAGTTCTGATAAGGTTTATGCCATCAACATATACTGCAACAATTGCAAATCGGAATATGACTTCTTAATGAAAATATAAAGGCATAGTTCGTTGTTCACATATCCTTGACTAGTTAAATACTCACTTGGATAGTTATACCACATTTTTCCAGATTGCTTCAAACCGTAAAGTGAACGCCTCAGCCAAATTGAGAGCGTGTTTCGGGGTTTGGAAATATTTGAACCAGTCAATGTAAGTCATTCGAGAACTTTCATATAGATTTCCGTATCAAGATCCCCATAAAGATACGCTGTTACTACGTCCATCAACTGCATATGTAGTTTTTCGGAAACTACCAAACTAATAAGGTAGCAAAAAGTAATCACATCCATAACAAGTGAATAAGTTTCATCATAGTCAATCCCGGGGTGTTGTGAGAAGCCTTGTGCAACAAGACGAGCTTTGTAACGCACAATTTTGTTTTTCTCGTTACGGTTCCAAACGAAAACCCACTTGTAGCTAACGAGCTTCATATGTGGAGGAGTAGGAGCTACAGGTCCAAACACCTTACATTTCGTAAGTGAATCGAGTTCAACTTGGATTGCTTGTTTCCAGTTTGACTAATCAGTTCTACATCGACATTCATCAACGGAACGCAGTTCAATATCATCGCTCAACATGATCTCAATAGCTATTGCAAATGTTAATGCATCGTCAACAATCATCTCATTTCTACGCCACACATCATCTAAGTTAGCATAATAGATCGAAATCTCACGATTATTGGGAGGAGGATTCGTCTTTTCAATGACGCTTCCATAATCTAGAATTTCCTCATGAGTTGGATAGAATGACTAAGCGATAGTCGGAATGAGTAAGCGATAGTCGGACTCACAGTAGGCTCTTCAGGACCTTGTGCCGTGGGTTTCCTCTTTCGGGGGTGTGAATCTTTTGAACCAAGGGGTCTGCCACGCTTTTATGTAGGGCTAGATGATTGGTTAGCCATTAATGTACGTGAACCACCAATATTGGCATCCCGGGCCTCCAAAAGTGAAGTCCGTCGTACATTTGGTACATCCATCTTTGCAGGTGTATTCACAGCTGGAATATGTGATCTTGGCATACGTGCTAGGACAGTGAAAACATCTGGCATGTTCTGAGCTATGCTCTGAAGATCTAATATACGCTGCACTTTAGTTTCAAACTTAGCGGTGTAGAGATATAAATGAGACAAAGTGGGAGTCATCCATGATAATTCGCGTCGTTCTTTAGGAACATTGACGTTCTTATCTCCCCCTAATGACGGGAAAACTGTCTCATAGAAGTGACAATCCGCAAAACGAGCGGTAAATAGATCGCCTGTCAAAGGTTATAAGTAACGAATAATCAAACGAGAATTATATCCAACTTAGATTCTCATCATTTGCTGAAGCGCCATTTTTGTACATAAGGGCTGTGAGATCGACACATATACTATACAACAAAAAACGCACAGATGCGATATGTCGGGCTCGTATCCGATAACTAACTAAAGAACACTAAATGGTTGTGTCGCAACAGGCCTTAGGCAGACCAACTTTGTTGTGTGCAATATTGCATGGCCTCAAGCAACGATCGGGGGCTTGGTACGTATGACCAACAATCGAGCAATCATTTGTAAGCGCTTAATGAAAGTTTCTGCCAGGCCGTTCTGGGTGTGAACATGGGGTACATGATGTTTAACTTCAACCCCAACTGACATGCTATAGTCATCAAAAGTTTTAGATGTGAATTATCCAGCATTATCCAATCAAATAGATTTAATTGGATAATTAGGGTGGTGAGCCCTGAACATGATAACCCGAGCTAACAGTTTGGAGAATGCAATGTTCGTTGTGGACAACAAGCACACGTGTGACCAACGTGTAGAAGCGTCAACCAAAACTATAAGGTATCTAAATGGTCCGTAGGGAGGGTGAATCGGTCCACAAATGTCCCCTTGAATCTGTTGTAGAAAAATGGAAAGATTCGAACGAATCTTGTCATAAGAAGGCTTAGTAATAAGCTTTCCCATTGAACATGTTGAAGGAAGATTTGTGAAAAACATGTTCATTTAAGCAACATCAATAGCATGCAATTAACAATTAAAGGCGGAATCATGCTTGTATGCACTTAAAACAAAACATTTACCCATGAAATTCAAAGCCTAGTAGATAGGTGAACCAAGACTCAACTCAAAACAAAGTGAGTTGAGAAATTAATACCTTTGTAGATTCCTCTTTGCATAAGCAAAGGCTAATCACCCAAAGAGAGGGCCTTCATTCCTTGCATCTTAGATCCATGGATTTGGATGGATGAAAAGGTTTCTCCAAGTTCCCAAAATTGAGAACCTCTAATGATTCATCACCAAGGCATAATGAAGAAGAAATGAGTGACCTTGGAGGAGTTTGATTGCTAGATGATCCCTCCAAGGTGGCCTAAATTTTAGAGAGAAAGGAGAGCTTGTGTTCTCATCCTTTCCCCAAAAATTACCATATCTAAATTTTAGGCTATAAAGTCCTTTATATAGTCCCTTCAAATAAGTGACCTAATGGACCAAAAGCCCTATTCTTCTAACATGGCAAGCCTATAGGGTTTATTGGGCTTTCAAGCCCTTTGTTTATTCAAGTTGTCATACAACTTGAGTTAATGGGCTTGACATTCAAATCCCATTGGGCCTTGCGGCCCAAAACTAACCCGAGGTCTTTAACGAACTTATTCGTTTGATTAATTAACATATTAATTAATCCTAACCTTAGATAAACAATTAAATCATTTAATTATTCTTACTCATCTCCGTTGTTTCTTCAAACTCTACCTTACTCGGTGAACGATCCATTAGGTTCCTTTTAGCGAGGCAGTGGGCGATTAAAACTCTTTCTAATCGATTGTGAATTGAAACTTACTTTCAATTCTCCCGTTAGTGATAATACACTTTTAGGGCTTCCACAAACCATGGTTGACGCCTAGCAGCATGTCATGGTTACCCAAGCTAATCAGAAGAGGTGGAGAACC